TTCGCCATCCTCTGCCCCACCCTTCCCTCCCGGCCCTGCTCCAGGTTGTCAACTCTGCAGGAAATGGCGTCCGGTCCGGCAGAGTTGGCAACCCTTTTCCCCCTCAGCGTCAGCCCCGCCGTGCGCAGCGGCCACCCCCCGGAGGGTGGGGGTGCCAGCACGGGGCACCGGTAGAGACGGCCCTGGTTGACTTCTTGGTTTTTTTGCGATCTAGGATCTGCAGGGAGAGACGGAAGATGGGAAGGGGGAAGCTTTGTCTGAACTGAGCCAGCAGGAGCCTCGTGTTCCCCCACAGCCTGCCTGGTGGCCAAGAAGAGGGAAAAACTCAGGGACCTCGGCAGAGAGGCAAGAGGGGAGATCATCCGGTAGGTCACCCCGTCCTCCATTACAGGGCAAGTTCGCAGACTTTCCCCAGGCATCGGGCCCAGGGGGAAACCCAACGCTTCTCCCGGGACAGTCTGACCATGCACGGTCAGCCTCTGCCCTGGGCCTCCATGCTGCAGGCCCCTCTTAGACGCCTCAGCATATGAAGCACAGAGGAGAAGGCTGGACAATGTCTACCCCCCCATCCGGGTCTCCTGGGCTGGTATTTGGATTCAGGTTGGAGGTGTGTGTGGAAGGCCAGCATCCTGAGGTAGTGAGGTGACTCCCCTCCCTTCCCTCATCCCAGGGCCGGCCTGAGGTGTGTGCAGTCGGTTCCCCCACACCGGGCCTTGCGCTTCATTACTGGCCCCGCTCTATTCCCCCGTACTGGGGATTTAGACCACTTATTTTATTACCTATTCAAGCCATGACGATTAAAAGTTCGGATTATAGGACGGATACCTCCGCCCGAGCACTTGTGCAAGGGCAGTGGGCAAATGAGGTCGAAATACGGACGTCCGTTTTAAGCCAAGCGTCAGACCCACGCCCGTCTACGCGGCAGCGCGCCGGTAAATACAGAGAGAGGCTCCTGTGTCGTGCACAGCGGGCTACTGGCTCCGTGGGCCGTTTTGAGGGTGTTAATGTGGTGGAAGGTGCTTTTAGGTAAAGTTTTATAGCGGGGGCGGGGAACCTTTTCAGGGCCTGGGGCCACTGACCCAGAGAAAAAGCAGTCGGGGGCTGCACAGAGGGAGAAGCAAAAAACCCCCCAACAAAACCCCAAACCCTTCCTGAGGTGGCCCCAAGTGAGAAGCAGAAAGACCCTCCCCATGTTCCCCTCGCACACCACAGCCTGGGGGGGCCTGGGCTAGTAGATTTTGTGTGCTCCAGCCCCGCAGTGGGGGAGGAGAGGCCGGGGTGACAGCACATGCTTGATGCTGCAGGGGCAGCCTGAGCCTCGGGCTGGATCCAGGCAAGCCGGGGGCCGTATCTGGCTCCCGGGCCTGTGGTTCCCCACCCTGTATGTGTGTATATACAGACCCTGCTCCCGCTCCAGGGGTTCAAACGAGGCCCCACCAATGTTCACGCTGGGCCTGCCTCATCCCTGCTCCCGGGCGTTGTCTGGCCATGCAGCGGGATTGGAACCAGAGAGATGCCCGGCCCAGTGCCTCCCTCCCCCAACCCCTTGCAAAGACACTTCAGCGGCTGGGCATCAGCTCTGCCCTTCCCCTCCTGAATTCCCCTCCTATCTGGAATCAATTCCAGGGCACATGCTGGTGCTCCCCACCCCCGGCCTTTAGCTAGGCGATTTCCCCATGCATGCCCTTGCTTAAAAAGGCAGCGGCTGCATCCTTCCCTAGACAGGCTGAAAAGACAAGTGCAGCTCCTTGACTCTCGACGGGCCGGAGCCAGAACCCCAGAGGAGTCCGGGGACGTATCCCCAGTGTCTGCCCGGAGCTTTGCATCAGGCCCTCCGGTCCTGAGTGAGAAACCCCTCACGTCCCATCCCCACCGGGAGAAAACGTTTTTCCTAAGTAGGGACTTGGCCTCAGCCTTCGGCAGGTCGGCGGCCGAGATACACGCAGGCACGTCGGCCAGGGGCTTTCAGACTGCGGGTTGCAACCCAGTCCTGGGCTGTGCGATGTCGGGCGCTGGTTCTCGTGGCTGCAGGGGGATCAGGTGAGAGCCAGCAGGCCTGGCTCCTAGGTGGGTGGGGGGAGCGCACAGAGCTCCATGCACTGCCCCACCCCGAGCACTAGCTCCGCCCTCCCATTGGCTGGGAACCTGCTGCCGGCTACTTCTGGGGCAGGCCATGGTCTGGAGTGCCGGGAGAGGGGGGGAG